TTAAAGACAAAATAATTGTTTGATAAAATTGCTATAAGTGGTGAAATAAAAATATTAATTTAATAATTAGGGAAGTACCGTCTGATGATTCAAGCTTTTATTTCGAGGTCACGAGTGCTTGTCAGTCATAAACTGTAAAAAAAATTACTAAGAATGATGAAATTATTAACCACTAATGAAATGCAATATCGTTGCACTGGTACGAATATTCTTTATTATTTAATACCAACGGAAAACCCCAAAAAATATTGGCTTCAATGATAACGTTTGTCATATGAGAAGTACAGGAATTCAATAATAACAACAGAGAACACGTACATATAAAATTAACATTGCAACAGTGCAAGCGCACTCAACCCGATGAGCATTCCGCGAGTAATGCAAGCGACTACTCAATTGAAAGCGGTGGACGCCGCAAAGCATTGCAAGTTGATTGATTGCTGAGCAAATTAATGGCAATTTTTTCCGTGCCCCCACTGAGCCATTAAACAAATGAAGTCATAGAGCTTTAGGCGCCTCAAACTAATGAATAAGCAGGTAACAAACAGTAAGGTACTCAACGTTGTGTACAAAACAAACTTAGAAACCAAACACAACAACAGAAAAACTTACTAATAGAAAGGAAAACAAATAAATAAAATAAACCTAAACAACAGCAATGTGAAAAATGGGTTAAAGTAAACCGTGAGAAGATAAGAATCTACAACGATTGAGTAAACGTAACGAAATGTTTTGGTGTAATCGCGGAAGGAAGCACGAAAAAAAAGAGGGCAGACGACTGGGTTGGTTGTCTTAACGGCAAAATTATGGAGTTTGTTGTGGAGGTAACCAAGGTGATAGCAATAAAAACATGTTGAAAACTAATGGAACGCTTGTAAAAGGAAAATTGAAGATATTTGATGAGTAGGGCTGATTTTCGGCTTGATAGTAAATTGTGATGTGTACATATGTAAATGAGTGGGCAGATAGTTGGTGTCTATGATTACTATGTAAAAATATAAAACTGAATAAATGCAAACCGAAGAAATCATCGAGTGACAAATTATCGCAAGCAAAATATATATGTCAAAGATAAATTAATATAAACCATAATAAAAGGTTTGTTTATTGCGCTGGATTTTACACTAAAAAATTTTTCATAGTTTTTATTCACAACCATGAAGAAATAACTGCAGTAAACGAAAATAGTAGTGAGATTAGGTATAATTTTTTCGATTAACCACAAATAGTAGTGAAGTTAGGTATACTTTTTTCGATTAACCACAATTGTACTAAAAAAAAAAACAAAAAATAATAACAAAAAAAGATTAAAAATGTAAGTAATTTATCTGCACAAACTTGTGTGAAATCAAATGTAAACATTAAGCATATTAAACACAGCTTTGACAAGTTTATGAAAACAAATCTTAAAAAAATAATAATAAATTATTCATTCAGTAATTACTTGAAAAAATTAAGCACAAAAAATTGCAAAAATCAGTGAGACAATAGGTAACTTATGCACCAGTTATTTCAGTCACAAAATCGTCTCTTTCAGTCAATAAACGGTGAGACCGTCAATTCGTACGTGAAGTGCCAATGAGTGGCTAGCGAGAATGCTCACACACAATAGACTCTTGAAAATTGAAGTGCATAAGTGCGGAAAGGTGCATGGTTAAATTAAGTGTGCACAAGTGGCAAAGGTGCCACATCGTTGCACTTGCGGCTTTGGATTTTCTTGCAATTACAAGAATAATACCCACAACAAATCGCTTAAATATGATTTTAAAAAAATCCTCTGAAGTGTAAAAATGGAGTGTGCTCAACAACTGGTACTCGAGATGAGTCAAGTAAAGAGAGATAAGCATGAAATGTGCATTAGCTTTGACTACTTAATCATTTCACCAGGTGTGTACTCGCTGTAATGACAACAATAGCGAGCGAATGTGGTAGTGAGCGCTTAAAAGCCAAAAGCAATACACAACAGCTGATTGAGTATTATATTGCATTGGGAAAAAAATGTTTAATGAGAAAGAAAGCCAACAAATTCACACAAAAATAGAATGCCAAGCGAATAGCCGGTTTCATGCACGATGTTGCAAATTGCAATTGCACATTTCTCTGAATTATCGATACATGTGTGCTAAAAATCTATGTATGTATAGGTGTGTGCACAAATGTTCCCTCCAATTGAAGTTCATTGAGAGCGCGCTGCTTTGTCGAGGTGCGGCACAACAATCGTGACAATTTTTCCACACAGAGCTGCTGACACTGGCATTTTACAGCAAAGCGTTGATGCTGCACAATTGCCATTAGAGCGCGAACCAATGAATTCACATGCAGCTGAGCTAGTGAGGCCGCACCATATACATATGTATGTACGTAAGTGTGGATTTTTGGATGTGTGTTGCAAAGCAAAACCAGAATTTATTCCCATGCTTAAGTGACGTATGACGTCAGGTAGACAGGCGGCGTTTGGCCGGGCAGCCAACTGTAGCGCCGGCGAAGACAATTGAAAAGGTAAAGCGAACAACAGTAAACCAGAAAATATATGTATATACTTGAAGCCAGAAAAAACGTTAAAGCGTTGCGTGCGCCGATTGAAGTATGGGCAAGCAGTTTTCAGGCTTTTTGCTGCTTGCCGCCAAACAAGCTTTGCTGTAGCGCGTTGCGAAGATCAGCACATGACAAACAAACTAAGAAAAAACTTCACAGGAAAACAACAACAACACAACAAACGGTAATTTTTTTATCTGTTAATGCAATTGTAAACGCGTAGTAACAATAAACCCACACATACACACACACAGTTACATATGTATGTAGATGAGTATGTATTATAACAATTAAGCCCGCTAAGGGAGCGGCGGGTCGAGCCTACTGGGCGTATGAGTTATGCGTCAGCCATGCAAGCGGGCACACGTGATTACGACCCCTGCTAGAGTATCTGTGCGTATGTTTACGGTTTTTTGTTTGGATTACATATTGTTATTGTTTTAGTAGTTGAAGTGCTTTTGAGTTAAGGCCGCAAATGAGTACGACAAACAAGACAAAGGCGAATGTGCAAAGAAAGCATAAAATAGAAGTGCATAATTTACCGATAAAAGATGCATATAAATTTAATAATAATAATAAATAAAACATTAATTTCGATGAATGAGAGAAAAATCATGATTATAAATTTTCACAGGAAAAGCACGTAAAATTTAATTGAATGAAAGCTTGAACAACATTTTCTCAATAATATTTCATTTGGTTTTTAACAACAAACAAAAACAGAAGAAAAAAGAAAAAATTATATACTACATGCTAAGACAACTGAAGTGGCACATACAATCATACAAAGTACCTATGTACATACATACATACGAGTATGTAGATTTGTATGGTATGTATATAGAGCTGGAGAGTTTGAAGGCAGTGTCGATAAAATTGTAGGTATAGCTGTAAGTGTGGGTGTAGCTATAGCAGGCAGCTGTGAAAAGTACACAAATGTTTTGAATTTTTAATTTGAAATCGTGTATATTGATGGAAAATTCACACAGTCACATACATATGTATATACTGTTGTATACTCATATATGTTTAAAAATACACTATAATGCAAATGCTGGGAATTTTTTTTATTATTGCATATAAATAATAATAATAAATGCATAAAAATAAGTATCAACATTTAAACGGATTTAATTAGCTTTCAGTTTCGAGCATTGCGAAGCAGCAACAATTTAATGACATTATTTTATAGCCGCCGCACTATTGAGATACTTATAGGATGAAAGTGCCTCACATGCATGTATAGAAGTATATAATTTGCTCGCATAAGCTTCATTAAAAGATAATTTTTCGAGTAAATTTCAAAAACATAAAATTGCTTAAATAGTTTATGAAAAAAAAAACATTTAAGAAATGTAACAAAGTTTTCAAATTACAGATTCTCTCATAATGTGTATAATTAATTATAACTTGATTTATGTGTTTATGCGCTAATGTGCAACATGTAGGTACTTGAGCATAGACTCGGCTAATGTATCATGAAGGACGTTAGAGCAAAATTGTTGAAAAATACATTTTTACAACAAAAAATTAAAGTTCAATACAAAATATTTGTTTAAGAATATTTCATGGTTGATTGATTTGAGTACGGCTTTGCAATCTCTTCATTTCATATAATATATATAT